CATTTGAGAATTACATATTCCACTACTATTTTAGGTGCACCTTGTTCTTGTCAGTTCTGACATATTATCTAAGGCGTACAAGTTTGGTCCCTGTAAATTCAATAAAACCAAATGTTGGAACACCCAACCTCTTCTAGACTGAACAACTGAATCACATACACACTTCTCTTCATCTAAGGAATTCTATAACTCCCAACAACATAGGAATATGTACAGACATGACAAACATTATTAATGGCTTTATTAACTATAGTTGATTTGATGTGATTCCTATAGTTGCATAATATCTATACTGTGACCGTTTTGTGGATTACCCACCTCTTCGGGAAGGTATACATGCTCATTACTTACTTTTGTATTTTCAAATGGGATCCTTCTCCCTCTTCCTATGGTAATTTCCTCTTCAAACCCGATCCTCCTGATTTAATAAAACATAAGACTATCAGTCTATAACCTCAACAATAAAAACAAAACAAATTATTATTAAAATCAAATAATGATAATACAACTTGTTACAAATTATGGACAATAGGGTGTTCTTATATGATGGCATTGGGAGTGGCTGGTAACCCAAGGGATCTTCTTGATCTCTCTAGTGGCAACCCAAGGGTTCTGTCCCATATTAGCTGTCAAAGTCAAAAAGAATACCATTAAATCTGAACAAACATGAGTTATACCAAATTTACTGATGAAGGGATGACGTTATACCAAATTTGTTTCATCAAATGTACAGTGTGTGGGTTATAACTGTGCAGGTTCTTCAGGGAAAGTCTCAAGGAAGCTTTCAAGAAGCTCATCAGCATTATCAATTCTTTCATCAACTTCACCAATTATACAAATCATCGATGCCTGTTATAAAAAGCAATTATTAGTAAATTTCTACATAAAGCAAAAGAGAGAGAGAGAGAGAGAGAGAGAGAGAGATTGTAGAATTTAAAACAATTATTTTACTACAGACACAATAAATGATCTAATTAACTGCTCTTGATTGTGATGCCAAAACCAAATTGAGAAGGCAGAAATACAAAAACTAACTATCAATTAAATCTTACTCCACCCCACATGAATTGATCATCAAAATCTGGAATCTGATATACGAGTTCTTTAAAAGATGTTATTATCGTGTCTTAATTTTCGGCCCCTAAAAACATAGACAGGGCATTATGCCACACCAAGCTATGCAATCAAAACTGTATTGAAGATGCTACCAGAAGAAGAACCTGAAATCGTATGCCAATAATATCTTCTGAAAACTTCTCCCTACCTACAGACCAATAACCCTATGGATCTGGCACAGTAGATCCTTAATTCAGATTCAGATCAAAATCAAATTATCATCCAAGGTAAGAAATTGAACAAGGATAACAGTATTTGTGATAACTTAATCGACCTATCAACCAATAACCTGATGCATCTGCCATAACCATGATCGAAGATAGTAACATACAGGGAGAAGCTGGAATTATCATCATGACCCGCTTGGATAATAATATATAATCTTTAATTTCTTCCAGATATAAACCAATAACCCTATCGATCTTCCACAGCAAGTAGATTCGTAGATAAATTCTTAATTATAACCTGCATCTCCTCATATAAGAGACCATAAAAAGAACCTGATAACGCTTAGAACAACATAAGAGAGGAAGAACCTGGAAACACCTGATCATAAAGATCTGATCCTTGAGATTGAAACTATCGACAGATCAAATCTAAATTACAGAGCGTATATGAACCTGCAAACCTTTGTGGATTAAGATTTTCCATGACGACTTTATAATCATTAACCATCGATCAAAAAAACAAATCCTCTAAATCAAAATATCAAAATATAGAATATAACTAAAGATTTTTGAAGGGATTACGACCCGTTTTAGATAAACATCAGCCATAAAATAATCTTCCTGTTGGTCGAGCATTCACAGCAAGGGGACCTCTGCGAGGTGGCCCTGTTGGTCTTCCACCACCAAATGATCTTCCTTGACCTCGACCACCACCACCACCACGAGCCCTACCTCTCCCTCTATCTCTAATCTTCTTCAAATAGATTTTGGTGCGAGACTGGATTAGCTGCTGATGCAATCGTATACGAATCGACAAATCAAGCAATTGAAAGAACTGTTATAGGATCGCTGTGATCTAGGTTCGAGTGAGAAAGAAATAGGGTTCGAGCATGAGAAAGAACTGTTATAGAGATGTAGCAAGGTACGAGGTGAGATCTAGGGTTTGAGCATGAGAAAGAACTGTTATAGGATCGCTGGTGAATGGATTTCATTGGAGGGTGGAGATGCAGAAGAGAGAACATGCAATAGAGAAAGACGGGGCAAGTTCTTCACAAAAAGCCCTAGCTCCGATTGGATTCCGGCATCGATGAGGCCTTTGACGCTGGTTTTTGTTTGATCGAAAGCTTTGAGCTCTGATTGTCGATCGTAGCTTGAGCCCGCTCAAGCAATGGTGGCAGCCATTTTTGTGAAGATGATCGTGTTATATATGTGAAGGTATTCTCTAGAAAGGTGAGTGAGCATCCTTGCAATTGTGGCCCTATGAACGTAAAGTGTTTGATTTCTTGTGAGAAATGAAGCGATAGAGATCGATCTATGGAGGATGTGGTCGTTCTTTGAGGGATGAAAAACCCTAGTTTCTTAGGCTTTTTGAGTACGGGTTTTCTAAATTTTAGATTCCCGCGAGGTATTAAGGATGGAACCCGATGTTTGATGAGATCGATAAGGAGGTCAGGAGTGGTGGGGAAGCAGATCAGAGAGGAGAGAGAAGGAGGGAGAGAGAGGGGAGAATATGAAAGATAGAAAGAAGGTAGAAGATGACTTTTCAAAATTTTGGGGATTTCATTTCCCACCTCTACTAAACGCGCCTTTTCATTACAATTATAAAGCGACAAATATAGAGGACGCACCTTTAAAATAAAGCGCCCTCCGTGTTTTTAATTTCTTTTCGTGAGACACTAATTTAAGGGCACTCAGTAATGCGTGACCTAAATTCTTAAATTTTTTTGAAGAAATGAGTCTTTTCTAATGTCGCTCTCTAATGCGTAACATAAATCAAAGAGCGTCGTGTTTTGCGCGTCATAAAAGGTTGTTTTTC